CGATGTTGTCTCTGCTGCTGCCGATTGTTGAATCGTTGCTAATGCTCTTGTTCGTTCTGCCTCAGGAATGGTGTGCGAGTACCAGAAGCCTTCGGGACTGAAGTTGGGGTCGAGATCCGGTGGATGTGTCCAGGAGGTGAAGGTGACGATCCCGTCGCTGTCAGCGGTGCCAAGATCTGGGACAAAGTCAAGGACAAAGACGTTATTCTTCAGGACTACCTTGCCGATGTAGAGACCTCCTCTCCCGTGGTACAACTTGAATTCCTGTGTTGTGCTATCTGCTTCGAGGTGGATGCCTTTCGCCATCAGTTGACTGACACTCAGTAAGTTGTAGCCGAGTCCCTCCGCAATTAACACTTTTGACATTTGCAGTATCACGTTTGTCTCTCGTGACTGAAGTTGCACTACACCTTGTCGTCGTGTGCGCAGGTTCTGGTTGTTGGCGACGGTGATGACGACTTCGCGTTGAAGTTGGTGTTCGCGCTGAACAAAACGTCCTGAAGAGCACATGTGCTGTCCGCAGCAACTGTCCAAGAACCACGTATCTTTCCCGGACGGCTCGCTTTGAGCGATGGCTGCATACGTCGGATTTGGTTGAAGTGACTCGCGGCGAGGCGTGCTGTTGTCGAGTTGCTCTTCCGGTGAGTAATGCGGTGGTGACTCTGTGATGCAGGAGTCGGTCATCCGTGCCATGCAACTGACGATGTTTCTTGTTCCTTGCGCAGGTTGTCCCGTCGATGTTGTTGAGGCTTGTACTTGAGTGGTCGGATTCGCTTGCGTTGAGGCGACTTGACTGCTTGAAGGGCGGAGCGGCCGCTACGTTGGTGTTGACTGCTGCCGGTTTGGGCAGTGTGTACGGGGGTGACCTGACGTCTTACAAAGGTGACAGAACGGAGGTACTGGTTTCGGTTGATGCCGATTGTTGTTGTTGTTGTAGCGCCGTTGAGTGTGGAATGCGAATTCGGGCACTGATGCCTTCCTCTTGTGTCGTCCTTCTTGCAGGTCCATATCTTGCTGCTCGGCGTGGATCTCGGCGCAGAGTGCTGCTTCTGATATTTTTCCGTGAGCTCGGAGTATGGCGCGAGTGGAGCGCCACTGAGGACCGAGGCCGCCGATGATGACTGTGACGAAGGCGTCTTCTGAAATCGACCCTCCGCATCGAAGGAGTTTGTCGCGCAATTCGCGACAGCGGCTGATATACGCCATCCCCTTTTCGCCCGGTTTCATTTCGACTGTTGTCAGTTGCGCCATTAACCGACTTTGATTGACGCTGTCTGTTGCTTGATACAGGTTCTTCAAGTGGTTGTACGCGAGCTCTGCAGAGTTTCCGTAACCTCGGTAAGACCGAATGTTCTGCTGCTGGTTCGGTGTGACGTTGCGCAGTAGAATTGTATACGCCATCATTGACTGATACGTGTACTGCTGTTTGTCGTACTGTGTGCCGTGTGTTGGATATGGCAGGGACCCGTCGAAGAAGCCAAGAATCTGCGCCCCTTCCATCATTAGTTCGAACTCGAACGACCAGGTAAAGAAGTCCTTCCCGTCGAAAGGGCTTGACGTTTGCAGTTTTAAGACGTGCGCGAAGTGCGACTGAACTTGAAGTGCGTCCAGTGTCTTCTCTTGTTCAGGTGCAGGCTGCGGGTGTGGCATAAAGCTGACGGAGCCGCGCTGGGGCTCGTACGGAGCAAAGGTAGGCTGCTGCTGTTGATTTCCGCGCGCGTAAGACGAGCCATCGAGACTCATGGGTGTCACGTCGTTGTTGTTGTTGCTGTTGTTTGACTGCGCAGGTGCCGACTGTTGGTGTTGCTCGTAGAAGGACATGGAGGAGAAGAACTTCTCCATCATGTTCTGGTCGAAGTCTGCAGGTTTATTCGCAGGAGTTTCAGTGGACCCTGCTGCTGGTCTTGTCGCCGTGCCCTGCTCTGTCTATAGGCCAGAGGCAGGAGGTGGAGTAGGGGTAGTGCCGGGAAAACCATTAGAGGAACTCCTTTCCTTCTGAGTAGCCATGCTTTCTGATGTTGTAGGTGTCTTGTTAGTGGAATTTGTCCTGACAGCTCTCATACCATGTTGGGCTGAGAAGAAGCCCTTAGGATCTTTGCAGGACTAAATTCCTGGTAGGACTGATGTAATAGCGGAAGCGTTCAATGAGGAGTTTGTGAACCACCTTGCGCTGGTATGTGAGGGCAAAGTAGATTGATTAAAACAAAGAGATACAAGCCTTTTATAAGAGTACAAGGGAATATGAAGGGTTATAACTAATAACTGTTTTGCTGTTGCTGTTGCGGTTCGATACAGTGATGACTCGGGCAACTGCTCAATAGCGAGTCAGTTGTTTGTCCTTGCTGTCGCGCTGTACTTGTCAGGTCAAAGGTCGCTGACCTTTGACTTTCGCGTAACCTCCAGCAGTTGCTCAACCTCCGAGGGTTGACTCGCTGATGCTTCGATATGTTTCGCTTCGCTTCTGACTTGGTGTTTCGACACGACAGAGGCGCTTAAGTTACTTGTTTCCAACAATCTGAACTGCTGGTGTAAGTAGTACGGTGAATAGTGGAGCTTGTTTCCATTCCAACAGCACCAAGACTCCCAGCATCCCCGTTCACGATAGGAACCTCGGTTTCCTGCCCCGTCGCTGATTCGCTAACGTGAGACACCTCTAATGGAGTTTGATAGACCGTAAAAAAACTCTGTCTAAAGTCACCATAACTGGACCGAGATTATTGCTGTCTCTCTGCATGGACCAATAGAAGTGTAGCACGCGTCCAATTGCTGTAACTCCAATGAAAATAAGCACCAGGAGGACGAGCCAGATGAGCGTTGCGTATATCGAAGTGGCAGTAACGAATCCAGAAACGTCACGCTTTCTCTTAGCCTTCTTGTCTTTTTTCGAGCGGTGCTTGGAGTGATAACCCCCACCGAATCCTAGGATTCTGAAGCACGAGGCGAATCTTCGGCCGACTGCTTGTGACGACAATTGGGGCCATGAAACTGGGAGAGCATTGGGGAGTACGGATGGGTAAGACGGAGAGGAAAGGCTATCAGCAGTGGGTGATGTAAGGCAAGTCGTTTCGGCCAATTCGTCTGACACTGTTTCTGGATGAATGGTCTCGGTCACCGCCGGGACATATTTTAGAGACGTCGTTAAAGCATGACGGCTCTTGCTTTCAATGAGATTATTGGCGAGCGCTCGGTCGTCCTGAATGACTCGAGGCTTTTATAGGGCCACGTCTTCAATCGGCGAGGCTGACGGGTCCGTCATGGTTCGTCGACGGGAAATGGAATCGCAGAATTAGCTTATATGTATACAATCATAGGAATGAGCAGCCAGCGTATCTGTCTGGAGTTCGACAGAAATAAGACTTCGACCGAGTATCGACGCGTATGAGGGGTTCACCATATGACAGCGACCGTCTTTTCCATTGCAAGACACGACGCTTTCACATGGATCTAAGCAGAGCGATTTTTCTGAATAGAAGCATCATCCTAGGCTATGCCTGTTGTACTTGGGAGAAAGCGTTATCTGTTTGAGCCGAAGTGGCTTTGAGAGAACTCAACTCGAATCTGCTTTCACGCTTACGCCAGTGTAGATCAGTAGGTGATTTTGGAGGAAGATGAAAGCCTCGAAAGTGCCAGAGAAGTGCAATAGCGGGGATTGGTGACGCCGCCAAATTTGACCAATCGCATAACAGGCTCTGAGCAGCACGGAAATTGGGACTGTCGCAGCGCGTGGTGCCTGGGCGATGGTCAACTCAACACTGACGCTGCGCTGAATTGCGGTTCGCAAACCAACTGACATTTTGACGGGAAGGTAATTCCCAGGAAGGCAAAGGCAAGCCGTTTGTTGAGCGTCACCCTTCGTTCTCGCTACAGCACGCTACTCAAAAGCTAGAAAGCCCTACCCGACCACTCTCAACGGCGATGCAACAGATTAAACCGCGATCAGACATACCTTCAAGGACGCACACAGCCTCTCTGCTACAACAAGCGACCATGAACTCAAAAAGCAGCACAACCAAGGTGATGAAACGAGGCAGGACCACAAAGCATCGCCATTTAGTTTTATCGACGTAGTGTCTCACACTTGTGATTTTCCTTCTCCACGTGCGCTAGGAGTCCGACGTGCTTTCTTGTACTAGATAGACATGGAATTGCCAGGAGGCGTTGAAATAGACCGTAAAAAGAGTCAGGCGACTAATTCGCCTGCTGCTCGACCGAATCGCACATGGAACCTCACGGGTCTTTCGCGCGCCAGCATCTTAAAAATTTCCCAAACACTCGGCGTTAACTCAGTCGCGATTCTCTTTCTCACAGCCGTCATTCTATTCTTCATGGTCGCAGTTGGCGGCCTCTTTCCCCAGCAACTTCAATCCCATATTTTGTTTTCCCCGTCTGCTGACTCCTCCGTTACCGTCCGTTCCAGCTCCTTTATCGGAGTCCGTCGAATGAGCATCCCTGACATCGAGGGTCTTGAGATTCGGCTCGGTGCTGCTACTGAAAATAAAGACACCGATGCTTCGCAGACTGAAAGTGGTAACTCAGAAACAACTGATGTTTCCGCGGAGCAGAGCGAAGGCGGCTATCTGGACCAAGGGGCCGCTCGACCCGCTGCAGGGGATCAAGACTCATGGGCCGTGGCCCAAGAGGATCCAGTAGCGCAAATTCAGAAAAATTCCGTGACAGCGGAAAACCAGACATCAGTGCGAGATAAGGGAATGTCGAAGGTTCGGAATCAGGGAGGCGCCGCTGAAAGGCCGGAATCAGGAACACTAGGTGACGTCGACGTCTTGTCGGAAGAAGGTACAGTTAGGCCTGTCGAGGATACATCGCTAGGAGAGAAGACGGCAGGAGTTTCCGAGAGCTTAGAGAGTGAGGGGAATGTGGAGAACGAGGAGAACGCGGAGAACGCGGGGAACGCGGAGAAAGCGGAGAAGGCGGAGATGGCGGGGCAAGCAATGAGTGCGGAGAGGTCGGCACGTGCTGCAGGACTGGGTGACACTTACACCATGGCTGAGGTACGTTTTGCTGCGGCGGCTGATGTTCAAGTAACTAATATTCACCCTCGCTGACGAAACAAGAGCACTATGTAAAAGCTATGGGTAGTGAAAGCTATGTGTCACCGTTTAGAGGTCGCCAAAGCACCAACTGTTCCTTCTTGTTCCCAATGCAGGGAGGAGTGATGGACCGCCTTCGAGCCCTCTGTCTCGCACCGGCCGTCGCGGCGACTCTCGCGCGTCGCCTGCAGGGAAAGAGTTACGGCGACACGGCAGCCATGGCGGCAGGCAGCAGTAGCAGCGGAACCAGAGTAACGGTTGTTTGGGACAACAATGCCGACAGTGGCTTTAACTCTCTGTTTGCGGGGCCGCCGAAGGTTGGACGTCTGGCGGGAGTGTCATCCGAGATGCTCGCTGACGTGGCGGTGGGGGAGACGCTAGATGAATCGCTGAAAGCGAGATTGACGGCCGAGATTGAGGTACGGGGATGCGAACGGGCGAAGCTGCAGGTTCCTCTGATGCTTACTAGAGGGGTTCCTTTTGAGTCGACTCAAAAGTCACCTGCTTACTAGAGGGGCTCCTGAGACTCCTTGGCCATCCTTTCCTGTATCCTTATTCTTCCGCCCAATATCCTTTTCCTCCTGTCTCTTGTCGTTACACCTCTGTCCCGTCTCTCAACAATCCTTACAACTACAATACTTCCTCGGTGTCGGCAGGTGGCTGTCTCAGAGTGCAAGGAGAACGAACCGAGCGAAACCGACGCTATCAGCAGCAGTGGAGGCAGTGGCGAGTCTGTTCGCCTGATGCTGTCTGCAGCAGCTGCTGCAGAGGTGATTTCGGCAAGTGGCAGTGGCGAGACCAACGGCCGCGTGATTCTGGTACGCTCACAACATGTTCAGCGACTGTCAACGTTTTCAGCATTTTCAGCAACCTGAGCTATCAAAATTTCCAACTCCTTTATTCCCTCCTTTGCCAATCCCCACTCTTCTCATTCTTCCACCAGGCACCTCAAGAGGTCTGCACTGCGCGGAGGCTGGAGGCGGCCTGCCTGGGCGGGATGCGGCCGTCAGCAGGCGTGGCGGCCATCATGCGCGCCCACCCCGCCTCCGCGCTCTCCGCCCTCCCCCGCTCCACCGCCGTTTACCTTGACAAGGGGGCTGCCGCTGCGCCAGGCGTAGGGGATGCAGCAGCAGCATCAGGGGAAGATGCAAGAGCGACAGAAGGAGCCACAGCAGGAGCAGCAGCAGCAGCGGCAGGGACTTGTGGGGGCTGTGCGAACGATCCCCTTCTGAACTGCACCATTCGTACAATCGCATGGAGATACCTCCGTGCGGGCTCCACCCCTCCTTCCTCCCCCTCATCCTCTCCTTCCTCCTCGCCTTCCTCCCCCTCCTCCCCTCCTTCATCCTCCTCCTCTTCCTCTCTCTCCCCCGAGACGTCATTCATAGTTGCTGCGTTTGAGCCCGAAAACGCTGCTGCAGTGGCTGCTGCCTTCCACCCCTCCCGCGCGCCTCTCCTCCTCCCCATCACACAAGCCCGCCTCAAGCGCTGCTCTCGCTCCTCCTCCTCCTCCTCCTCCTCGCTCTCCTCCTCTTCTTCTTCTTCCTCCTCCTCCTCCTCTCCCTCCACCCCCCCTTCCTCCTCCGCTTCCGAGTCTAGTAGCCAAGAAGGGAGAGGTGGAGTATCCGACTCAGGGAACGGTGCAGCAGAGAGCAGCGCGGCAGAGAGCAGCGCGGCAGGGGTAGAGCCAGGAGCTAGAAGGCTGCTTCTGGAGCAGTCTGGTGCTTCGGATTCTGCTGCTGCTGTAACTGATGCTGGGGGTGCTGTTGATGGTACTGCTAGTGCTGGTGGTTCTGCTGGTGCTGCTGCGGGTGGTGATGATGCTGCTGGTGTGGATGTGAGTGTGTGGGAGGGTGACAGTAGCGAGTGGAGCTGCGCGCAGCTGCAGGTGGCGGAGGCGTGGGTGGTGTCGGCAGCAGCGGCGCTCATCCACACCCGCGCGTCTCTCGAGGCCCGCTTCCTCCACGCCCAGGCTACTGCCGGCGCGGCTCGGCACATCCTCGGAGGGGCTATGAGGGGAGGAGAAGGGACAGAGGAAGCAGAGGGGACAGGGGGAGCAGAAGGAGCAGATGCCAGGGGTCGTGACAGCAGCAGTAGCAGCAGCAGTGGTAGCAGTAGCAGCAGCAGTGGTAGCAGCAGCAGCAGCAGTGGTAGCAGCAGCAGCAGCAGAGGTGGAGGTTCGTTTGTGGTGGAGCCAAGCGTGTGTGAGGCGCCTCCTGCCGTGTCGTTCAAGGGCACAGCGGAGAGGTTTCTGAGGCAATTCATTGTGGACGGTGCGTTGTGTGCCTGGCCCCTTGATTGTTGGCATGCCTGCCTGCTTGTTCCCGACCTGCCTGCCTGCCTGCCTGCCCGCCTGCCCACCTGCCTGCCTGCCTGCCTGCCCGCCTGCCCACCTGCCTGCCTGCCTGCCTGCTAAGCTTGCGCCTCCTGCCATGTCGTTCAAGGGCACAGCAGAGAGGTTTCTGCGGCAATTCATTGTGGATGGTACGTTGCTCTCCTGCCCGTCCGCCTGCCTGCCTCCTGGTTCACTTATCCCTTCTCCCATGTATCCCCCGCCTCTTTCCACCTGCAGAGAAGCTCAAGACCATCTACTGCTTTGTGCCTAAGGTCGCCTGCACGAGCTGGAAAACCTGGTTCCGGCAGCAGCAGCAGGGGCAGGAGCAGAAAAACATTTCCGATGTGTACCTCACGCACGACCCCTACAAGAGTGGCTTACACATTCTCGCATACCACTATAACGAGTATGAGGTGATCCGGCTGCTGACCCGCCTGGATTTCTTCAAGTTCTCGTTTATTCGGAATCCGTACGCGCGGCTAGCCTCGGTGTATTTCAACAAGCATGTGAACAAAGGGCCGCCGTTCGGGCGTCATTTTTGGAACAAGATGTTTTTCCGGGGTATTACCCCGTACAGGCGGCTTGTGGAGGCGCAGGGGGGGAAGGGCCTGTTTGGGTTCAGTGACTTTGCGTATCTGCTGAGGAGTGTGGAGGAGAGTGAACGGAGCTATATGGAATCTCACGTGCAACCTCAGGTGCGAAAGGGGAGATGGGGATCAGAACTTGGTTGTTTGGGTGGAGCATGGGGGGGAGGGAGGTGGAGATGAAAATTGGAGGGGGAGGGGAGGGCGGAAAGATTTCTGTTTTTGACAATCGGATGATGAGTGAGCTTGGATGGAGCGGGGGCTGAATTCCGGTTGAGAGAATGTGTGTACAGCTTTTCGTTTCCCACTAGTTTAGCAGCTTTCTACCCCCTCTCCATGACAAGTCCATGGCTTCTATTCTGGTCCTCCAATTCACGCTTCTGCTGCATTTCCATCTGGCTTGCCCCAATGACAGATGGATGTTTGCCGGTTTGACGCCATCAAATTTGACTTTATTGGTCGGTTTGAGAACCTCGATGCTGATGTGGCAGAGGTTCTGCATCGGCTGAATAAGACGGACGCCTCGGGTGCATTTTCCATTGGGCTGAATGCGCATAGGACAAATGCAGAGGACAAACTGACATCCTTATACGACGAGGTATGTCGAGTGCAACAATACTTTTGCTGATATGTCCTCTTATGAATCAATATCCAACATTGGCTTTCATGGTTATTTTCCCCCTTGGCTGCTTACCTTCTTTATCTGACCGCATGTTTTTTGCTGGTTTGCTTGTTGATTGCAGAGAGCCTTTACTGATGCTTCACACCTGTACGCCTCAGATTTCAACATCACATTGAATAACATTTCGTATGATGTACCAGAAGGGCTTGCTAAGAAGTTTGGAACGACGCCTGCAGTTACACAGTAGATGAAATAGGCCAGAAACAATAAATGATATCATATACATAAAGATGATTTGGATGCATTCGTATGCACTAAATTTTGCTGTTTCTCGTGTTTGAATACAAGAATGTCATAAAATACATGAGCTTCATTGCTTCATATCATTTCCGTATCGGAGCATTGGTTGAAGAGCGAGCCGTGAAAGTCTCTGACACGATTCAGTGCCAGCCGACAAGTGCCGACTGACGAATTGGGTTGGAGGCGTTCGCGGGGTTCTTGAATTGAAACTCACGTATGAACAGAGCAGACCACACCTGCGGAAAGGTCTGACGAATTCAGAATCAGCTCTGGTCGCTGGCAGTGGTGTGAGCTGTTCTGCTATTTCCTGCACTTTCGTTAAAACATTAGGTTTGAGTGGAGGTACCCCACCCCACACTCAATTTTCGGAACCCTTACCCGTCCCCAACCACACCTTCCCCGAACCGAGCCCGTCAGGCATTGTAGTTCTCTGACGGCGGGTTCCGAGGCCGAATCGCGTGCGTCAGCCACCAGCCGCCGATAAACGGCACGGATGTGAGAGCCGCCAAATTGGCCCATTCCGATTCGTCGTCGGGTTCTACAGATCGACCTCTGTGGTGCAACTCTGCGTGTCGCACTTCACTCTTTCCGCCCGACTCTGACATATGCTCCTGTGGTGCCAAAACCGCTGCTGCGAAGGGAAGGAGGAGCCGCATTTTCTGCTCGTCGCGCCGCGTGTTGGGAAATTACTGATCAATCCTCTCGTGAATTGTCGTCGACGTCCACTCTCCGACATTGTTGTGCATGGTATCTCCCTGCTTGCTACTGCCGTTTCTGCCCAAGCACCCTCTCTTCCCCTTTTCTCGTTTGCTTTGCACTGCACTCTCACACGGAGTGGAGTGGAATCGTCAACGCAGCAATCCTCTGGTTCGAAACGCCTACTTCTGACATCAAGTTTCGCCCGAGCGTCGCTCCGTGAAAACCGCGGTGATGTGTTTTCCCTCGCCGGATAGCTCACCGCCGAGACTCCCCCATCAACCGTCCCCTCTCAAAGGTTCATACCCGCCAGGTCGGAAAAACACGGACTCCAGTATCATCATCCCCTTTATGAAAAATATTATACAATATTCCGTCCGTCCAATCTCTTTTCTTTTAGCATCAATCGACTGGCTCCGCCTGTGAGACGAGCGGTAGATCTCCGCCGTCCAATTGACTTTCCTCAGATCGTGCCTGCCTCGTAGGAGGTACACATCTTCTGTCGTCTTTACTTCCTACCGCCCTTGATTCAGGTGGAACCTCCATTTATTCCCCCTAACGTTGCCGACATTTAAGGTATCGACTGGTGGCGTAGCAGCCGGGGACCATCGTAATCTTCCTGTCCATACCTGTCCGTTCCGACCTTACTTTGTCGGCTCCTAGCGTCCTGCTCTCATTGAGTATAACCTCCCTTCGCCAGTCTTCATTACTCAGAGTCAGCACTTTTCATTTCCAGCAATCGAACCTTTCGATGCGATCCTTATGTTTTTTAGGCGACGATACGTTCCACTCCTCTAAGCTGGCTGTGCAATCTCTGCAACCGGTTCTCGGTGCTTCGTGAAGTCGCCCCAACAGCGACCATTAGTTCACTTCACGCCTTAAAAACCGCATCGCCTTAGCTAAAACAGCTGCACAACAGTGAGGGTAGCATGCCTTACGATGTTTTCTCTGTTCCCATCGTTTATCGATCGTTAGTATAAATTGTCAGTTGTTGAGGCGCCTCAAGTAATCTCTCGATATTGGCGTGCTACCGTGCTCGTTGTTTCCGCTGTACAGTACAGCGATAATTCAGCAGTAGTGGGCAGGTGCATTACGAGCCGCCAGCGGCGCGCCTGCCGATTCTTTCGATCCGTTTGGCTGAGCGTCACTCTCGCCGGAAACATCCGCATTGACTGGATCTACTAATGGCGAAAACATCTGAAACAGGCGAAGATCAGCGAGTTTCGCCAATGGGCGAGAAGCTCCTTCCGGTCACCACCCGCGCGGTTACCCCCCGCGCCGCCTCCGCGGATCCGTGGGGGCTGCTGCGGTGGGGCAAGTACTGCGGGAACGGCGGGGGGGATTTATTGCGCGCCGCGTTTCACATACTCCCGTTCGCGTTACTCCTGGCTTTATTCGCCGTCGCCTCGAATTTCGTCCTTGGCGGCTTTTCGCAACAACCGTTTCGCCAAAGCCTCATAGTTCCGCTGTCTGTGTCGAGAATGTCGTCCCCTGCCACCACCTCCGCCGCCGCCGCGGCCGCCGCAAATCTCGCCGCGCCGGCAGAGGGCGCTTCCAGCAAGTTTTCAGGTGAAGAGGGGTCCGTGTTTGGCGGATTCGCGGATCCCGCGGCGGACCGAGCGGAGCTTGGGGAGTCTGCGCAGGGAGCGGAAGTGGCGGAAGCGGAGTCCGCAAAAGCGGAGCTGGAGAGGGTTTCCGCGCGGAAAGCGGAGATCAAAGAGAGTTCCCCAAAAATATCGGAGGAGAGCGTAGCGGATGTGACTGCAAGGAAGGAAAAAGAAAAAAGTACCGGCAGACGCGCAGGAAAGGGGAAGCCTGAGAAACGAAAGGAAAAGGGAGGACGTCCGAGTGATACAAACGAACGCGGGATTCGGGAGGCAGCGGTGGTTGGCGAAAGCGCTTCTAAGGAAGTTTCGTCCAACCAGAGTGGTTCTGATAACGGGTCGGCTTTTGAGGCGTCCGTTTTCGAGGCTATTTTCGAGTCGCCTCAAAATGAGGGTGATTCTAAGAACAGGTTGGGCGGTGCGAGCCTGGTGGCGACTGACGCGATTCGGAATGAGAGTGCGGTTGTTGAGGAAAGTCAGGAATTGAGAGGCGGTGACGTCGAGGCTGCATCAACGGTGGAGAAGACACCAAAGGAGGAGGCATCGACGGGCGGAGAGACCTCTACGGGAGAGGCTACGATGGGGGCGACTGAGACTGTGGGGGAAGCATCGGCGGAGGGGGAAGCATCGGCGGTGGGGGGGTCATCGGCGGGGAAAGATGTACAGGCGGAGACAGCAAAGCAGCAAGAGGATACCCTTGTGAAGAGCGCGTTTGTCGCTGTAACGGAGGTGAGTGTAGCGGAATTGAGTGTAACGGGGATGAGAGGGGCGGAGGGGGTGGAGGAAGCGCTAAGGCATTCATTTCGTCAATATCTAGTCCTGCCGCCTAAAAAGGTATCTGGCCCTGCCATATCATCCCGTCCGGTTTTCCTCCACACCCCCTTCCTCCCGTTCCTCGCTTTCCCCCCATTCCTCCTCCTCCTCATCACCACCCCCTCCCCCGCATCCCCTCCCCCCCCCCCCCCTCCCTCTTCCCCTTCAACCTTTCTCGCAGGGCGACTTTCCGTCTCGCCTCGGCGTCCTCTGCGCCGCTCCGTCAGTTGCGGCGGTTCTCGCGGCGAGAAACGTGGAGGAGCAGGACCAAGCGGGGCAGGCGCGAGCAATGGCGGTGGTCTGGAAGGGCGGGGACGATCTTTTCGGCGGGCTGCCCGGAAAAGAAGAGATTCGGAGGTTGTTGGCGAGGAGAGGCGGCGAGGATACGGGGAACCAAACGGAGCTACAGCAGCAGCAGCAGCAGCAGCAGCAGAGGGAGGAGAAAGAGGGAGCGGTGGATTCGTGGCCTGAGCTGAGGCTGAGTGACGCGGAGACGGGAGATACTGGCAGGGATGGCATGGTGGAGATTAAGGTAAGCTGCTCTCTGCGCCCTCGCTTTCCCCCCTTCCCAGGGACTTTTTAGAATTCTCAAAAATCGCTTGTGAGGCTGAGTGACGATGAGACGGGAGATACCGGCAGAGACGGCATGGTGGAGATCAAGGTACGTTGGCTCTCTGCGCAATCGCTTTCCCCTCTTCTTTTCTGTGTGTTTTCTTTCGTTTTCGCCTTTGTTTTAGCTTTCACCCTCCCCCCACTCGCTTGTTTCACGACTTCTCTCATTCTCGCTTCTTCATTCGCTCTTCCCCCTCCCTCCTCCCTCCTCCTTTGCTGCTCTCTCGTGTGTGTTCCTCCGTCATGCATCTCCCCTCTTTTTTCCCCGTGCACCATCCAACCAACCAACCATCTCCCCTCTTGCAGGTGTCAGTGCGACCATGCAGGAACGGCATTTCGAATGAACCCGCGGGCACCATCAGGCTGTGGGTGCGAGACGAGCTTGCAATGACAGTCGCCAGCAGCGGGAGCTTGGACCTGGTGAGTTGCCACCGGACTACACTCCACCAAACCCCTTCCAGACGATGTTTTCTCTCAGACCCGCGGCCTGAGAGCAGCACCAAGCACCCATCCGGCATACAAAGAATCCCTTAGGGTTTTGGTGTCTTCCCCGCCTTTCTCTCTTCCCCCTCCCTCTTCCACCATCCGTGAAGCTGATTAGCTTCCCTCCTCCGCCTTTCTTTCCTCTCGTATGCTTCCCTCTTCCGCCAGACCTCCGCCGAGTCCTGCAGCGTGAGGGCACTCGAAACGGCCTGCCTGGGCGGCTTGCGGCCGTCAGCAGGCGTGGCGGCCATTATGCGCGCCCACCCCGCCTCCGCGCTCTCCGCCCTCCCCCGCTCCTCCGCCGTCTACCTCGAGAGGGGGGCCGCTGCGCCAGGGGGGTACACGTGCGGGGGGTGCAGGGGAAACTCCCTTCGGGATTGCACTGTCAGAACTCTTGCCTGGAGGTACCTGCGCGCGGGAACTCCCCCCTCTGCTTCCGCTGATTCTTCCTCTTCTTCCGCTCCTCCTCCTTCTTCTTCCTCCTCCTTCTCTTCCTACTCCGCCGCCGCCTCCTTCCCAGCGGATTCCTCCCCAGCGTCCGATTTCACGATCGCTGCGTTTGAGCCGTCGGATGCAGAGTACGTGGCGTCCACGTTTCACCCGCTCCGCGCCCCTAGAATCCTCCCTGTTACCGCCCTCCGCCTTGCCTTCTGCTCCCATCCCTCCTTGCCTCCTGCTGCTGCTGCCTCTCCTCTTGCCGCCCCTCCTGCTGCTGCCCATGTTTCTGATGCTGCAACCGCGGAAGAGTATGGTGAAACTTCACCCGCGTCAACAGAAGCCCCTTCTGAATCTTCGTCTGAGTCTTCGTCCACAGCACCGGGTGAAACTTCACCTGAGTCTTCCTCTATCGCTGAAACTTCACCTGCTGCTGAGGAGTCAAGAGCAGGAGAGGCGAAGGATGCAAGCTTGGGAATTGAGGAGGAAAGAGGCGAGGAGGGAATTGGGGGAGGGTTGGAAAGGAGGCTTATGAGTGTGATGAGACGAGGGAGACGACTGCTGGGTGATGGGGAGAGTGTTGGTGGGGAGGGTAGTGGAGAGGAGGGTAAGGGGGAGGACAGCAGCGCAGAGAGCAGCGCAGAGAGCAGTGAGGGCGAAGCAGAGAGCAGTAAGGGCGAAGCAGAGAGCAGTAAGGGCGAAGCAGAGAGCAGTAAGGGCGAAGCAGAGAGCAGTAAGGGCGAAGCAGAGAGCACAAGCGCAGAAGCACAGAGCGTGGAGGAAGTGCAAGCGGAAATGGCTCTTAGCATGCTGAAGGCACGGGAGGAGAGCGGCGAGGAGAAGAGAAGCGAGAGCAGTAGGGACGACTCAGAGAGCGCAGAAGCAGTGCAAGCGGACATGGCACAGAGCATGCTCAAGGGGCGCGAGGGGGGTGGCGGAGAGGGGGAGAGCGGGGCTCTGAGCGCGGAGGCACCGAGTGCAGAAGCAGTGAGTGCGGAAGCAGTGAGCACGGAAAAACTAAGTGCGGAAGCAGTGCAAGCAGAGATGGTGATGGGGATGCTGAAAGGGCGCGTGGAGAGTGGCGAGTGGAGCTGCGCGCAGCTGCAGGTGGCGGAGGCGTGGGTGGTGTCGGCAGCAGCAGCGCTCATCCACACCCGCGCGTCCCTCGAGGCCCGATTCTTCACAGCCCAGGCTACCGCCGGCACTGCCAGGCAAATCATGGGGCTGGAGAGGGAAGGGAGGAGGCCGAGTTTTGAGACGTCTCAACAGTCCGGGGAGAGGGGAAGCGGAGGAGCGGCAGAGGGAGCTGAGGGGGGAGCGGCGGAGGAGGGAGCAGAGGGGGGAGCAGAGGGGGGAGCGGCGGCAACAGAGGAGGGGGGTGGTGCGAGTGCGAGTGGGGTGGTCCCGTTGAAGGTGCATTCCAGCGTGTGTGACTCGCGCGCCCCCACGCCCTTTGTCAACCGCCGCTACCTGCAGCAGTTCCTCGTGGATGGTGAGTTGAGTGGTGGATGCTAGGTATGCATGTACAATCGTTAGAGACCACGCCTTGAGAAACCAAGAAGCACTATCTCACTTGTGTGTGCTGTCCCCGTTACAGAGTCACTCAAGACAGTGTATGGCTTTGTGCCCAAGGCGGGGTGCACGGGGTGGGAGGTGTGGTTCTCCCAGCAGCGACGCCGCCCCAACGCCCCCTCCCCCCTCCCCTTCTCTCCCTCCCACCTTCCCTTCCTGTACTCGTTACAGAGCAACTCAAGACAGTATACTGCTTTGTGCCCAAGGCAGGGTGTACGGGGTGGAAAGTGTGGTTCCGGCAGCAGCAAAACCGCCCCAACGCCACCGATGCGTGGATCGCCCACGACCCAAAGCACTCGGGGCTGAAGCTGCTGGCATTCGACATGCAGGAAAGAGAGGTATGTGGAGGGGTTGAGAGGTATGGTTTTGTTTCGTGTAACGTTTGGTGTGAAAGGTATGCAGCAGCAGCAGAACCGCCCCAACACCACCGATGCGTGGATCGCCCACGACCCAAAGCACTTGACATGCAGGAAAGAGAGGTATGTGGAGGGGTTAAGAGTGGTGCCAAAGGTATGTAGTAGCAGCAGCAGCACCACCACCACAGCCCCAGCGCCACCGATGCGTGGATCGCCCACGATCCGAAGCACTCGGGGCTGAAACTGCTGGCATTCGACATGCAGGAGAGAGAGGTGTGTGAAAGAATTGTCATGTGAGTGACTTAGGGAAAGGGAAGTGTGTGTGCGTTGGGATTGCGCACGATCTCCTCCACTCGGGGCTGAAGCTGCTGGCATTTGACATGCAGGAGAGAGAGGTGCGTGAATGGGTTAAGAGTGGTGCCAAAGGTATGCAGCAGCAGCAGCACCACCACCACCGCTGCCCCAACGCTAGTGATGCGTGGATCGCACACGACCCAAAGCACTCGGGGCTGAAGCTGCTGGTATTCGACATGCAGGAGAGAGAGAGGTATGTGAATGGGAGTGGGAGGTGAGTGTGTGGAGGTGACAGGTGTGGTGCCCCTTGAAACCGTTTGAAACCTGTCCCTTTTACCCTCCACATCCCTCCCTCTTCAGGTGATCCGGTTTCTGACCCGCCCCGACTACTTCAAGTTCACGTTCGTGCGTAACCCGTACACGCGGTTACCATCGGCGTATCTCAACAAGCACGTGGGAGGGGGCCCTCCTCACGACCGCGAGTACTGGAACGCGCGCTTCTTCCACAACATTGCTCCGTACCGCCAGCTGCTGGACCGCAACAATGGATCTGACTTGTTTGACTTTCCTGACTTTGTGGAGCTGACGTGGCACATGGAGAAGAACAAGCGGTGTATCATGGACCCGCATATCATGCCCGAGGTAGGGGTTGGGTTGGGAGAGGTTGAGAGTGGTTGACTGGTTTGACTTTCCTGACTCGTTGAGGAGCAAGAATGGCCGAGTGGATTGTTTTGAAAAGTATGAGCATGCCGTGCCATTAGATACGATTATGTGAATTGCTCTCAATCACCCTGTTTTCTTCCAATGCAGGCTGATGTGTGTGAGCTGCATCGGATTAAGTATGACTATGTGGGCCGGTTTGAGAACTACGAGCATGACGTGGCAGAGGTCCTGAGCCGGTTCGGCAAGGATGCGAATGATGCGTTCAGCATAGGCCGGGGAGTACACCCGACAGACGCTTCCGACAAAACCGTTAAACTGTATAACAAGGTACGTCTATATAAATCGTCTTTCCCCCCCCCCCCCTCCCTCTCTTTTCCGTCTCCCTGGGTTTTGAAGTATTGCTCGCTTGTTCTCTCTGTTGCACCCCTCATAGCCGCCTTCCTATCTAACCATGTTTGCCGCACGAGCAATTGATGGAGGCATTCATTATGTGTATGTGTGTGTGTGTGCGCGCATTTGTGTGTGTCCAGAAAGCATTGGATCTTGTTGCGAGCATGTACAAGTCTGATTTGGATGTGCCATTGAACGGAATACATTATGACGTGCCTGCTAATCTGAGGGCTGCATACCTAGACTAGTATTGTTTCCCCTCAAGCAATTTTGAGGGGAGCAACTAGGAAATTAGGGAGGACACATGTAGAAGCTGTAAAAAAAATGTTTACTATACTTGCATGTTAGTTGTTTACTCGTTTGTTACTGAGGAGTCAAGATAAAGTTAGATACATAACTCCAGTCCCTGGTCCATTATGGATTCGATATCAGCGAGCTCTGTTTTGGTCGGTTGAGTGTCGGCGGGTCAACTGTTCGCCAACAGAACAATTAATCTGCCAAACCCAGTAGATAACCGGGTTTTATGTACAATATGTATATTAATTTAATAACTGCAACCCTAGTCAGCACTCGAACTGCCTGCCCGAAACTAATCTACAACGTTTGCCCGAACGAAACATGAAGCAACTTTCTTTGCCTGCACTGTTGTCTCCAACCTCCTCGCCGTGTCTTCTGTTGCGCGGGAGGAGAACGCATTTCGGACTTCCTAACAAGTGACTTCCTTACAAGTTGGATAGTCGCCCAGCCAATGATGTTGGAGGCAGCAGCTCTGTGATTGGGGATTCACAGTCGCAAAACCGTCGCTTGTTAGGAAGTTGGTTGTTTGGAAGTGCCCGAAATGCGACCTAAAGGGTGTTCTCCACGGTACATTACAGTTTTTACCTCTGCGCATTTCCCTTCTGGCTGCCCAATTGGAAACATCCACTCCACTCATTGAGTCTGACGCGACGCGTTTCTCCAATTGGCTGCTTGGCCCCTCTGGGGTCCTTGTAGGGGCAGCGTATATTGTGCTACACATAATGCTCAACAAATGCACGCAAATTTGGTCTTTCAAATACCGACAGCCTGCCCAATTACAATTGGTACCAGCCAGTTGGACGCACGATACAAGGCCCTTCTTTGATCGCAGCCGTTGAACATCCACCTTATCACGCTGGTAACCGTCCGTTCGTGAGATATTTTGAGACGCTGGTTACACCTGCCCACTACTGTCCCGGTTTTTCCCTTGGCGAACATTGGCGAGTTAGGCGAAAACTTGCTGCTTATTAATTACTCAAGTGACGAGAAAAGGTGTGAGTATCTAGCGGGCATTCCTTTCACGCGCTTTTGCTCCCCCCTCCTTCCCCACACCTCTCAATTCTCCCGCAGCGGGGAGCATGCGCTGCTCACATCACTTCCCCCGCTCCTCCTTCCCCCATCAACTGCCACTACAGTATCTGCTTCTCGTAATTCCGTTCCGCAAACCTTTCTCGTTCCCCCAACTAAACCCCTGCCCGCATTTTGTGCGCCCATCGTTTTGAATACACCTGAACCATTTTGAGACCTTTCCGAGAATCTCGGTATCTCCTCCAACCCTGTACAAACTCTCCAAACATTCTGCAAACCCTAGGCCCTCGCACTTCCCGAAGCCTTCCGCGATTCTCCCCATCTCTCCTCAGCCTTCCGCCGATCCCTTCCCCCGGTCCCCTTTCTTCCTGAGTCTCTTGTGTGGTCTCTTTTCTTCCTCCGCGGAGCATCGTCCTGGTAATGGCAGCTTGAACGAGGAGCAAGGCTTGTCCCAATCCCAACGACAGAGACTTGCATTCTGCTTTGTCCTGCTTCTACACCCACACTAGTCCAGCGCAGCCATGGGCATGGCTTGTGGGTTCAACTTCCCAACATGGCAATTGCGCTGCCTCCAGCCATGGCGTTTTCTGGCGAGCCACACTTGGCATGTTGAGTTGTTGTCGTTCCATTCTTGAGTCCCAGCGACCTTGCGAGCAGCGCGTAGAGAAAATTCGAGTACGTGTATGTTCAGTGTCTCCTGTTTCGGTCCATAAAATTCCTCAACTCTATCGAGCACGCTCATTGGTTACTCTCGGTATTTATGAGCCGCCATAGGCAATGGTCAGCGTTCCATGGCCAGATTCAAACCTGACTGCACTACTTAGGTAGCGATATCTCCATGGCGTAGAATATTTACGCGCCGCGCCTCTCATCTCTCCTCGTCAGCGCAAGCTCGTCTACGGCCTAGAACAAATTAATAAACTTCACGACGTTCTAGCAGCACAGCGGATACAGCACCTCCGCCGGTGATAGCACCACTGCGATTAGCACCACTGCGATTAGCACCACTGCGATTAGCTCCATGTCGGTAATCCCGATGTCGCCATCGCAGCCGGCCGTTTCCGCTGCCATGACGCTGGCGGCGAAACCGGTAGCCGGCGCTGCGCCGTTAACAGCGAAATCGGTGTCTGGCGGCGCGTCGCTGGCGGCGGATGTGGTGGGTGACGTGTGGAAGGCGGATTGGTACGTCGCGCATTGCTACAAGATCCCCGCTATGGCGCAACTCAACCTCGTGCTCTCGCAGGTAATTTTGAGTTAGTGAAAGTAGTCATAGAAGGGTTTTTTACTCAGTGCAGGACAAAAACAGTCGTTTTGCGCGACAAAAGCGGGAGAAGCATCACAGAGATACACCAGTGGGAGGTTCGTGGGTGATGGTGGTACGCGTCGCACTGTTACAAAATCCCCGCCATGGCGCAGCGCAACCTCACGCCCCCCGCCTCCGCTCCCTCTCGCCGCTCCCCGCTCCTCCGCACCCTCCCCCCTTCTTCCCCCACCCCCCACGTGGCGCAAGCGCTGACGCGGAGCGACATATCTCTCTCCAGCCGTAGCCTCGCTATTTCTTGTGGCGCCTCTAAAGCCGTTCCTCCGCTCCCTCCTCCCCCTTCCCTCTCCCCCCTTCCAGGTGGCGCAAGCGCCGACGCGGAGCGACATATCTCTCCCCAGCTGCGGCCCCGCGGACCTGAAGCGCTTCCACCGCGACCTGGCGGAGTTAATCTCCTCGTCGGAATTCGCGGGGAAGCAGCTCAACGTGTTTCTGCACGCCGTCCACTCCACCGCCTCGGGCCTCCAGAAAGACATCTCGAAGCGCCTCGCGAACGAGAATTCGTCCGTTTCAAAAAACTCTCGAAGGTGGTTCTCGAGGTTTCCGTCGGGGGGGGACGATTTCGCCTTAGCAGCTGCTGCGTTAGCGACGTCGAATGCCGAGGCGCCTCGGAGAAGGCTAGACGAATCGGTTTTAGGAGCAGCTCTAGCCACGACAGCCGCAGGTGTCGGTTCCGCGGTTTCAGGTGCGACGGCCGGCGGACGGGAGTCGACGGACGTCAGGGGTCACGATAATGGTAACGGTAACGGAGACGGGAAGAGTAACGTGGCCGCGAGCCAAATTGACCGTACCGCCGTTTCTGCCCGTGATAGCACCACCCACGCAGTCGGAAACGTTAGCAGTAGCGAAGCCACCAGGAACCTGCGTTTGTGGACTGAAGCCAACCGGGAATGTCTTAGCGCTACTTTCTCCTCTGGCGCGCAGCCGCCTAAGTCGCCAACCAAACCTACATTCGCGGCTCGACTGCGCTCCCGGTCGTTGAGCGGAGTAACGGCGGCGGTGGCGCTGTTCCGCTCTCCCGAGAATGCGGTTCCGCGCAGCAAAGACTCCGCCGTTGCGCGGGGAACGGGGGAAGGGGGGGCAGCGCCGGGGGCAGAGTCGGGGGAAGGGGTCATTGCGCGGGAACGAGCAGAAGCGGGGGCAGATGGGGTGACTATAGCTGGAGATGTTGCAAGAAACGAGGTTCGCGGCTCCGGTCCCTTCTCGTTCCGCCTCGCCCCGCCTTCCGCGCTTGCAGTGGGGGAGGCGGAAGGAGACGAGGAGGAGAGGGGGTTGAGGGGAGGAAGGGAAGCGGGGGGGGCGGCAGCTCTCCGCGGGTTCTTGCTGTGCGGGCGGGGAATGCGGAGTGACAGCGAATCAGGAGCCAGCAGCAGTTCCGCCGAGGGGGAAACAGGCGGGGGCGAGGGAAGTCGGGAGGAGGGGGGAATTTCCTCTCGGGAGGGGCGCGATTTGGAAGGGGAAGGCGAAGAGGGGGCAGGGAGGAAGGCGGCAGGGGGAATCGCGGAAAGGGAACGTGCGGAGGAGGAGGTGGGAGGGAAACGCGGAAAAGAAGGGGCAGAGAGGCATGGGGTCGAGGAATCAAATATTGACGAGGAAATCCAATCAGATACCAATATTTTTCGAGAAGTGGGAACAGACAGTATTGCTTTCCGCCATGACCGCGCCAGCGTGTCCATGCCACGTGCCGCCACGTCAGCAGAGGCGTTCTTTCCATCGTCCACGTCAGTAGCCGTCCCTGCCACGTCACTAGAAAGAAGCGGGGCCGGGGGCGGGGGCGTGGGAGGTAGAGCAGGGGATGTGTATGGTCCGCGCTTAACTAAAAGTCGGTCAGTAGCGGTGGAACGTAACCGTCACAGTTACAGCAGCGGCAGCATCAGCAGGGGAGAAGGGGGAAGGAGAGGGGGACGGGGGAAGGCGGAAGGCGGAGGGGAAGCGGGCGGGGGCGGGGAGGGCGGAAAAAGGGCGGGAAAACCGCCCCCCAAGAGCAGTCACGAACGGTTACAGGAGATTCTAAAGAATGTGACTATAGGGGGGACTAGAGGAGGACCGTTGCAGATGGCGCGGGCTATAGCGAGGGGGGGAGTGGGGGGAAGCTTTGGGGGGAGCGGACCAGGGGGGCCGGGGGGAGGTTCGGCGTCTGCGGGGGGGATGGGGAGTCCGCGCGTGTGGGAGGGAATGGACGGCCAGGATGGCATCTCGAGATTCCACAGGGGAATGTCGGTGGCGGAAAGAGGGGAGAGAGGGAAAGGGGCGGGAGGGGGGGAAGGGGGGAGCGGAGGGGGGAACGGAGGGGGAGCCAGGCGGTTTATGCCCACGTCTCTGTCTGTAGTCTCCCGGAAAGGGGGAGAATGGGGGGAGGAGGAGATGGGGGAGGGGTGGGCGGAAGGGGAAGCGGAGCAGGGGGGAGCGGGGGAAGAAGGGGGAGAGGGGAGCAGCATTGGAGCGAGCGGCAGTAGCAACGGCCAGTCACCTCGCCCTCTTTTGTCTCCTACTGCTCAGTTTCAACCCCCTACTGGTCCTCCTGTGTCGCCCAAACGGCCAGCCTTGTCGAAAGCAAAGCTACAGCAGGAGGAAATGCTGCTACAGCTGCTTCGCTCCACCCCCCCCATACGCTGGTCCCTGGCTAGTGAGGGAGGTGCTTCTGGGAGCGGGGGAAGTGCAAGGATGGGCCGGTAGAATTGCAAGCTACAGCAGGAGGAGATGCTGCTGCAGCTGCTGCGGTCCACCCCCCCCCATACGCTGGTCGTTAGCTAGTGAGGGGAATGGTGGGGGAATTGGGGGAAGCGCGAGGATGGGGCGATAGGGTCTGAAGCTACAGCAGGAGGAAATGCTGCTGCAGCTGCTGCGGTCCATCCGCCCCATACGCTGGTCGTTGGCTAGTGAGGGGAATGGTGGCAGTGGGAGAAGTGCAGGGAAGGGGCGTTAGAGCTTGCGATGCTACAAGAGGAGGAAATGCTGCTACTACAACTGCTGCGCTGCGCCGCCCATACCGTGGTTTAGGGTTATGCCAGAGGCTACAGGGATGCTGAGCTTAGTGCTAGTAACTGTTACATTGTAACGGCGCAGCACAACTATTGCCCCCGTCCCACACGATGGTGATACCACCTCTGAAGCGCCTCAAAGAAGGGTGTTGTTTAGGGAGGGTGGGTTCAGCTGGAGGCTACTACAGGGATCCTAAGCTTAGTGGTCTAACTGTTACATTGTAATGGCGCAGCCCAACTAGTGTCCCCGTCGCGCATGGTGGTAATACTACCCACACGTGGCATGAAATGGGACAGCAGTTGCTGCTGCAGATACGAAACACCTGTAAATTATGTGCTGGGTTGGCTTGATTCTCAGAGAATTATTTGGTGTGGTAGGGTTGTTGACTGCAACTTGCCAGACTGAAGAAGAATGTGTTGCATTTTACTATGTCTCTGTGTTGCCTGACTGTATCGGAGCCTTTATGGCTTGGTTCGTGCGCAAAGAAAAGTTCGGCGCCCATGAATTCAGTTGTTTTTGCCGACAAATGCTTAGGATGCGCCCGAATCCCCGTAGGTGTAGGGAAAAGCATTCAAGAACCTCAATATCATTGCATATTCGAGTGGCTCATGTTCAAATACACATATTGGAGCCTTTCCGGCTTGGTTTGTGCGCAAAGAAAAGATTGGCGCCCACGAATTCGGCTGTTTTTGCCGACAAATGCTTAGGATGCGCACGAATCCCCATAGGTGTAGGGAAAAGCATTCAAGAACCCCAATATCATTGCAGATTCGAGTGGCTCATGTTCAAATAGATTTATCGAAGCCTTTCTGGCTTGGTTCGTGCGCAAAGAAAAGTTCGGCGCCCATGAATTCGGCTGTTTTTGCCGACAAATGCTTGGGATGCGCACGAATCCCCATAGGTGTAGGGAAAAGCAATCAAGAACCTCAATATGATTGCATATTCGAGTGGCTCATGTTCAAATACACCTATCGGAGCCTTTCGGGCTTGGTTCGTGCGCAAAAAAAAGTTCGGCGCCCATGAATCCGGACGTTTTTGCCGACAAATGCTTAGGATGTGCACGAATCCCCATAGGTGTAGGGAAAAGCAATCAAGAACCTCAATATCATTGCAAATTCGAGTGGCACATGTTTTAATAGACCTATAGGAGCCTTTCCGGCTTGGTTCGTGCGCAAACAAAAGTTCGGCGCTCATGAATCCGGCCGTTTTTTGCCGACAAATGCTTCGGATGCGCACGAATCCCCATAGTGTCAGAATGTGATATTTGTCTAGCCTGCAGTGTGGTACTCTATAGCGAATATAGCCCAAATTAGGGTTTGCTATATGTACTCAACTGCCTGCTAGTGCAAACACCTTTTCCTGTTTCTGATTCCTGCCTAGACTTTCCAATATGCTATCAGAGCAGGTCGACCCTCCTGGGTCGATCCTATGGGTGGTCCCACCCGATGCTTCCGCTGCTGTCCTGCCTATCGCACGCCCTGGGCGCGCGATGTTTCCTGCCTGCCGCCCGCTCAGGGCGCGCGGCGTTTTTTCTTCCCGGCGCGCGCTCGGGGCGCGCGGCGGTTTTCTACCCCGTCAACCCGCGCGTCGCCCCCCGTCGACGGTCGCGTCGTCCCCCGGGAGCCCGTCGCGTCGCCCCGCAGGCCTGCACGTCGCCCCCGCTGCCCCGTCGCGGCGCCCTGGGGAGCCGCGCGCGACCCCCGCTGCCCCGTCGCGACGCCCTGGGGAGCCGTGCGCGGCCCCCCGCTGCCCCGTCGCGGCGCCTTGGGGAGCCGCGCGCGGCCCCCCGCTGCCCCGTCGCGGCGCCCTGGGGAGCCACGCGCCATCCCCCGAGCTGCTGCCCGCGCACCGCCCCCCGCTCCTGCCTGGGTTAGGGCTTGGGGGTGGCGAGTGTGGGGGTGGCGAGTATGGGGGTGACGGGTGTGTGCGCCATCCCCTGCTCCTCCTCCTCCTCCGTCTCCTACTGCTGCAGTTGCCGCTGAGGGGGGTGGACGTGTTGGAGCCGTCGGAGTGGTACGAGGGGGGTGGCGTGTGAGTAGTGCTAGAGGTACAGCAGGGAGTGTGTGAAAGGGGTGTGGGACAGTTGGGGGAGGTTGACCGGAGGTAGCCGTTGTGACGTCAGCAGCGCCAGTAGTCTGGAGGTTGAGTGCTCCGGTAGCCCAGCGAGCCTGCTGCGCCAGTCGCCCGTGGGTCAGTTGCTCCTGCTGCTCGTCTTAGCACGGAGCCAGTTACTCATGTAGTCCGGAGGTTGAGTGCTCCGGTAGCCACCGTGCGCGCGCTCCTGTTGTCCGTGTGACTGCGGCTTTACCCGTCGCCTTTTATCTCCACTCCTCTCACAGTCGCTCCTCCTCCTCACTTGCCCTCTGTGATAGCCACTAGATTTGCTTATCATTGTGACCTATTGCTCTGCCTGCTTGTTGTGCTGATTATACCCCCACTTTGACTATGGGGGTGTGTCAGAATGTGATATTTGTCTAGCCTGCAGTGGGGTACTCTATAGCGAGTATAGCCCAAATTAGGGTTTGCTATATGTACTCAACTGCCTGCTAGTGCAAACACCTTTTACTTTTTCTGATTCCTGCCTAGACTTTCCGACACATAGGTGTAGGGAAAAGCATTCAAGAACCTCAATATCATTGCATATTCGAGTGGCACATGTTCAAATACACCTATCGGAGCCTTTCCGGCTTGGTTCGTGCGCAAAGAAAAGTTCGGCGCCCATGAATCCGGCCGCTTTGCCAACAAATATTTAGGATGCGCACGAATCCCCATTGGTGTAGGGAAAAGCAACCAAGAACCTCAATATCATTGCATATTCGAGTGGCACATGTTCAATACACTTATCGGAGCCTTTCCGGCTTGGTTCGTGCGCAAAGAAAAGTTCGGCGCACATGAATCCGGTCGTTTTTGCCGACAAATGCTTAGGATGCGCACGCATCCCCATAGGTGTAGGGAAAAGCATTCAAGAACCTCAATATCATTGCATATTCGAGTGGCTCATGTTCAAATACATCTATCGGAGCTTTTCCGACTTGGTTCGTGCGCAAAGGAAAGTTCGTCGCCCATGAATCCGGCCGTTTTTGCCGACAAATGCTTAGGATGCGCACGAATCCCCATAGGTGTAGGAAAAAGCATTCAAGAACCTCAGTATCATTGCATATTCGAGTGGCTCATGTTCAAATAGATTTATCGGAGCTTTACCGGCTTGGTTCGCGCGCAAAGGAAAGTTCGGCGCCCATGAATTCGGCCGTTTTTGCCGACAAATGCTTAGGATGCGCACGAATCCCCATAGGTGTAGGAAAAAGCATTCAAGAACCTCAATATCATTGCAGATTCGAGTGGCTCATGTTCAAATAGATTTATCGGAGCCTTTCCGGCTTGGTTCGTGCGCAAAGAAAAGTTCGCCGTCCATGAATTCGGCCGTTTTTGCCGATAAATGCTTAGGATGCGCACGAATCCCCATAGTTGTAGGGAAAAGCATTTAAGAACCCCAATATCATTGCAAATTCGAGTGGCTCATGTTAGGATGCGCGCGAATCCCCATAGGTGTAAGGAAAAGCATTTAGGAACCCCAATATCATTGCATATTCGGGTGGCTCATGTTCAAATACACATGTCGGAGCCTTTCCGGCTTGGATCGTGCGCACAGGAAAGTTTGGCGCCCACGAATTCGGCCGTTTTTGCCGACAAACGCCTAGGATGCGCGCGAATCCCCATAGGTGTTGGGAAAAGCATTCAAGAACCTCGATATCATTGCACATTCAGGTGGCTCATGTTCAAATACACATGTCGGAGCCTTTCCGGCTTGGATGCGCACAGGAAAGTTCGGCGCCCACGAATTCGGCCGTTTTTGCCGACAAACGCCTAGGATGCGCGCGAATCCCCATAGGTGTAGGGAAAAGCATTCAAGAACCTTGATATCATTGCACATTCGAGTGGCCCATGTTCAAATACACCTATTGGAGCCTTTCCGGCTTGGTTCGTGCGCATAGGAAAGTTCGGCGCCCACGAATTCGGCCGTTTTTGCCGACAAACGCCTACGATGCGCGCGAATCCCCATAGGTGTTGGGAAAAGCATTCAAGAACCTCGATATCATTGCACCTTCGAGTGGCCCATCTTCAAATACACCTATTGGAGCCTTTCCGGCTTGGTTCGTGCGAACAGGAAAGTTCGGCGCCCACGAATTCGGCCGTTTTTGCCGACAAACGCCTAGGATGCGCGCGAATCCCCATAGGTGTAGGGAAAAGATTAAGAACCTCGATATCATTGCACATTCGAGTGGCCCATGTTCAAAATACACCTATTGGAGCCTTTCCGGCTTGGTTCCTGCGCACAGGAAAGTTCGGCGCCCACGAATTCGGCCGTTTTTGCCGACAAACGCCTAGGATGCGCGCGAATCCCCATAGGTGTAGGGAAAAGCATTCACGGACCTCGATGTCATTGCACATTCGAGTGGCTCATCTTCAAATACACATATTGGAACCTTTCCGACTTGGTTCGTGCGCACAAGAAAGTTCGGCGCCCACGAATTCGGCCGTTTTTGCTGCCAAACGCATAGGATGCGCGCGAATCCCCATAGGTGTAGGGAAAAGCATTCACGAACCTCGATATCATTGCACATTCGAGTGGCTCATGTTCAAATACACCTATTGGAGCCTTTCCGGCTTGGTTCGTGCGCACAGGAAAGTTCGGC